TGGACGAGACATCTGTCAATCAACGTATACAGGGAAGAACCAGCCGAAGAACAGCAGAGTCATGGTAGAAAGTTCGGAGATGGTATTAAAGTAGCTCCGTTTAAATGTATTGTATGAATTGCTCTTACTATGGAATAAAAAATACGGGGTGTCTATTTAGATTTAGTTAAAAGTGATTGTAAATCATCAGCTCCAGTGGTGCAGATAGATAAGCACTTGTCCTTGGATTTTTGACGCGATAGACCCGGGTTCGATCCTGCCTTCTGCCGAACTTTTTTTTTCTCCCTTTTCAAATCTCGTATTAGCAATGGATTCTATTTACACTAAGTGAAAATAGCAGTATTTTTAGCAATATGCTATTTACACTAAGTGCAAATACCTATTTACACTATGTTAAAATAGCAGGATTTCTACTATCAAGTATATACTACTTGTTGCAAATAGTGGCAATTATCTGCACTTCATTATTGTAGTACATGTAGCATCTGGACCACTCCAACACACAATATATATTTTGTTAGCTAGATTTCACAAATACTTTGTAACACCCCAGGACGCCGAACAAGACCCTGGTTTCATGGTAACCCGATACATTTACAACCTTGTGGAATGCGAGCCGGCTCTCATTCTGCTTTCTCCAGAAACAAAGGGGTACAAATGCACAGGAGAAATGGACTGTTCTACTAATTAATTCATAGGAAAACCTTTTCTTTGAATGAACACACATTTTCTTCAGGCCATTGTGTGTATTATTGCTGTTTTGTATTAATCTGTTGTATTATAGACTATTTTTATTCGTGCTTACGATAAACCACTCATTCAGATAACCTTACATATAGCTTGTTTAGTATCTATGAATTCGCCTTCTGATGATCTAAACAAGAATGTATATTATTTGTTGGTACGTAGGCAATATATTAGTGCCCTGAGAACCTTTAGTATTTCAGTACCAAAGTTTCAGATACTAAAGTACCATGTTTCAACACAAAGAGCCATAAACTCCACAGGATCTCAAAACGCCCACTTGGGATTCCGGCTTTTCTCATTGGATAAGCCCATCTTGAGAGGCGGGGATCTTCTCTGACCTTAAAGCTGACACACCATGTGACCCGCCCAGTCGGTGGTTCGGTCATCAGCTAAGAAGATGTGAAAAACGCTTCAGGATACCAAAGCATCTGTGCCAGGCCTTTTCTTCGGCCTAGTCCTTTCCATTCATCAAGTGACACTGACTCAAACTGGTTCTTTTCATCGACCCGAATTCAGCAAAGATCTACGGGAAGCTTTAAGATTTGCATCAGGAATCTCTTTCAGACCCCCGAGACTCGCTAAGTATCAAACTTAGTCTTATTAATTGATACATTAAGTATCAGTTACACCTTTTTACAAGGTGTGTTTGAACTAAGAATCTGACGT